ACACTAATAATTTAAACACACTAATTCACTTAATTCCGCTCCGAAGCTTCGCTTGTGTCGCCGAGTTCAACTCTATTTCGATCGCATCTTGCAGCGCCTACTTATATAAATTAGCAAAATATCCAGAATGTTCAAGTAAACACGCGCAAGGTACCGAGAGTTCGAGTTTTAAACTTCAAGAAGTTTAGTTCTTCGGTTCGAGACTAGATGGCGCTAGTGCGCCGATTTGAGGCATTGGAGCGCGTAACAATATGTATACTTTTTTTAATGTAATCTTTTATTTATGGATTAAAACTATCAAAAATAAAATAGCTTATCTTTTTTTTAAACATAAAGAAACCTTTAATTTCGGACATAAGTACTCCCTTTTATATAGCTTGTTTGTTGATGTGGAAATGGTGAAGGAGTAGGAGTTAGTGGTTGATGAGAGGATGAAGGCACGTAAGAGATCTGAGTGCGGTCTTGTGTTGATAGCGTGGGAGTAGGAGTTAGTTGTTGACTGTTGAGGAGAGGCTTTATCTTCTCCTTACTTACTTCATACACCCTACTTTATGAACGGCAATAAAACAGTTGGTTTAGTAGGTTTTCTTGACGTCGCCAGATCACGGGCTAGGGTGGATATGATTTGAATTTCGATAGATTTTAATTAATTTATTTATTCAAATTTTTTTTTTTTGTTTTTTGTAAAATATCAGTAGGCTTCTACATCATAGGCTTCTACTCCGTTCACATGTTTAAAATGTAAAAATTTTGTTATGTAAAAAAGGTCATTCAGTATCACTGTTTCGTGAACGTCCTTCCGCGAAGGCTGCCGGCAGCAATTGACATTTTATTTCTAAAAACGATTAGTAAGTCATATTGATTATTTATTTATTAAAATGTAAAATAAGTTAAATGGTAATATTTGCTTAATAGCCTGAGATTTTTAAATTATAATTTTATTGTAATTAAAATTATGAACTAATTTATACTGTAGTGTAATTATTAAAATAATAATAGCTTAACTAATCTCATATAATATTTAATATTATTTATGTAACAATAATGTAATGATTCAATTTGTAATTTATGAACAATTTACTGTATAAGAATTCAAATAGAGTGGATCTGTATAAGTATTTAATTGTACATAATATTTGAATTCAAAAAGAATGTTTGTACCTAACTTTTAAGCAATGCAATAATTTTAAAATGTAACATTGGGTTTGTGTAATTAGCTGTATTTCATATCATGTTTTTAAGCAAATAAATTTTCTATCTATCTTCTTTTGAACTTGATATCTTTTTAAATTATTAACTTAATTTTGTAGCGCAAGAAGACACAGCGCGGACGCTGCAATTGTTTCGACGTCTGCCATAGTCGAAAGCCGAAAGTGATGTGAGTGGTAGGGCAGAGTGTAAATACACACTTCCCGCGATCCTGCTACGGCAGTATTTAGCGAAGTATTGACGGCAGCGCGAGGAGCAGTGGCAGGGGCTGAATGTAAATGAGGATTTTGAGAGATCTTCGGGCAGTGGCAGCGGCAGCGGCAGTGTCAGCGCGAGTAGCCTGTTTACATATTGCCCTGCTCACTTCCCTGCCCAACAGGGCTGAATGTAAATGGGGCATGAGGGATCGTCGGGCAGTAGCAGCGGCAGCGGCAGTGTCAGCGCGAGTAGCATGTTTACATACTGCCCTGCTCACTGCCCTGCTCACTTCCCTGCCCAACAGGGCTGAATGTAAATGGGGCATTACAGTTAAAACTTTGTATGTGATAAAAATGTGAGATGTGTGTTGATTTGCAGTATTCTCGAAATCGAAGCATAAACTTACCTTAACGGGTTACATAAGTGAGGTTGTTATCACAGAGCTTGTGGGGTGAAAGAAATTGCTCGAGAGGTGTATTATTTTTATGGATTAATGTTAAATAATGTCTTTAAGTGGGTAAAGTAAAATGTTAATCAAATAAAGGTTCGATTTTGTGATTGTAACGACTTATGTGCAATGAAATAGGAGGGAGTCGCTTACATTAATTTCAAACTAGAATTGATAATATGTTACGAAGAAAGCTGTCCGGATTTGTATGTAATTTATTAGCTTATTTTATAATGTAAGCTTTGTATATGGCTCTCATACGGGACGAGGAGAAATTGTAAATTTGATTACACGTGCTGCGAACGTGCGAGTTATCTCAGAGGTGGCGCGGCGGATGCGTTTGGTCGCGTGGGGGGTGCCTTGACAGTCCCGGGGCGAATCTTTCCCCTATTTTTGAGCTAAAGTGTGTGTGTGTGTGTGTGTGTGTGCGGCGCGCGCGCGCGTGTGTGTGTGTGTGTGTGTGTGTGTATGTGTGTGTGTGTGTGTGTGTGTGTGTGTGTGTGTGTGTGTGTGTGTGTGTGTGTGTGCGTGTGTGTGTGTGTGTGTGTATGTGTGTGCGTGCGAGTGTGTGTGTGTGTGTGTGTGTGTGTGTGTGTGTGTGTGTGTGTGCGATGTGTGTGTGTGTGTGTGTGTGGGCGTGCGCGTGCGCGTGCGCATGTGTGTGTGTGTGTGTGTGTGTGTGTGTGTGTGTGTGTGTGTGTGTGTGCGTGTGTGTGTGTGTATGTGTGTGTGTGTGTGTGCGTGTGTGTGCGAGCGTGCGCGCGCGTTTGTGTTTGCGAGTGCGCGCGCGTTTGTGTTTGCGAGTCGCGCGCGTGCGTGTGTGAGCGCGCGCGAGCGCGCGCGCGTGTGTGTGTGTGTGTGTGTGTGTGTGTGTGTGTGTGCGTGTGCGCCTGTATGCGCGTGTGTGTGCGCGTGTGTGTGCGCGTGTGTGTGCAGTTGTGCTGTGTGTGTGTGTGTGTGTGTGTGTGTGCGTGTGTATATGTGCGTATGTGTGTGTGCGTGTGTTTGCGTGTGTGTGTGCGTGTGAGTGTGCGCGTGTGCGTGTGCGTGTGCGTGTGCGTGTGTGTGTGTGCGCTCGCGTGTGTGCGTGTGTGTGTGCGCCTGTGGGTGTGTTTGTGTGTGCGCGCGCGCGAGTGTGTGTGTTTTTATGTGTGTGTGTGTGTGCGCGTGTGTGTGTGTGCGTGCGCGTAGTGTGTGTGTGTGTGTGTGTGTGTGTGTGTGTGTGCGTGCGTGCGTGCGTGTGTTTGAAGTATGTGACGAACAGCGTGGTGGCTGCAGAAGTTGTATGCAAGCTCTTAACGGCGACGGGATAGTTGTTAAGGTTTTGTGTTAAGTGTCTAAACGGCGAGGTGGCCTTAGACGATGCAGATATAGACTGTCTAAATGGCGAGGTGGGCTTAGACGTTGCAGATATAGATTGTCTCAAAAGGCGAGGTGGCCTTAGACGGTGTTAAGACGAAAACTGTTTGGATGGTTTAATGTACGAATGGGCGTGGAAGCTATTGATATGAACGGAGCAAGTGAACAGTTTAATTACAATTCTTATTTTTTTTATATAAAAACGTTACCCCTACACTAGGATTTTCTCCTGTATTGTGGGGGCAGTTTACAAACATAAATTGCACAAGGACAAACATCCAGACCCGGAACAATTATTTGTAAGCCATACAAATACTTGTTCCGTGCGGGATTCGAACCCGCGACCCCCAGCGCAGCCACTCATTGCTAAGCCACTGCGCCACGGAGTCGTCAAATACAATAAAACAATAATCAAAAACAATAGATTCCTTTTTGAGGTTTTTTTTTGTAAGGCTGTACCTATTACAAGTTTAGTATGGAAAAATGGACTTTATTCAAAAACACATGTTCACGTTGTCAGAAGTGGCCGAACTATATTGCCTAAAACTTGTTTTGTATTTACAGATGACGATTATGCTCGTCCCTCAATATCACACGAGGACGCGTGAAACGTCAGGATGGCCGTGTCGGAGCAAGTAGTCTGAATCAAGTTGATTGCTGGTTTTCATCGCGTGATATCGATTGTTCTCTAAAAAATAATGCTCTGTTAAATAATAATTTTATTTTATTTTATTTGTTACATTTTGTTTTTGTGTAGAATCTTATTTATTCTCATTAAAGTTACTGTATTGTACTTCATACATGTTACGACCAATCAGAGCAGAGGGTAAGCCTCGAGTGGGCTCGAGGCGCCATTTTGACGTTTACCGGACGATTATTTTTTTAGTGTTTGTGGATCGTGGGTCGTGGTCAAGAGGCATTCCTTTTTTGGTGTTCGTACAATGAAGTGAAATCGGTGTCGCGAACCTGCTGCTCGTACTTTCTTCATATTAAACGTTTTAAATTTAAAATAAGTGACTGCAAAGTCAAAATTGTTAAACTTTAATTAAATTGTACAAATACAGTACATAATTTGTTTTGTGCTCGCATTTAACCCTAATGACGCCCACCATGACTCTACCATGGCCACCCATGACGATATCGAGGAAAATTGTGTTTCTCCGACATTATATTAACAAAAATAATATATATATATATATATATATATATATATATATATATATATATATATATATATATATATATATCGCGTGATAAATATCGATATATCGTCATGTTTTGCATGATAAAGTAGCATAGACCCAGTACCTTCAGCTTTTTAATTATTGTCTTTGTTCTTTAAATTTTTGATAATTAAAAAGCTGAAGGTATTCCGGTTAACTTTGATATCGGGACGTCAGTCACCTCACTCCCCCGTGACCATGGGTGCTGGAAAGCACCTGAAACATCGGCTATTAAAAATAAATAAAACACGATAAAATCCGTAAAAGTAGTTTTAATCAATGTATAGTGTTCGCGTAAATATAAGAAATTAATATTGATGATATTATATATCGATATTTCGATATTTTTTACCTAAGCCTACGAAAGTCCATAACTACGCTGTATGATCCTTTGCCTGCTTGATTGGCAAAAAATCGTAAGTCGCGTATAGCTTGCTACATATTTATTTATCTATGGTCGCGTAAAGTCGTAAACAAAAACGCATGTATTTGTTTTGATTTTTATTGTCATTTTAAAATTGTAAATAAATGTTATAAAATTTACTAAATAAATTGTCTTAAAAATGTCCTTAAATCCACTAAACGGTGGGTATATGAAAATATTAATATTTATATCTAGCTTTAATTATTCAATGCTTTACATTTTTCACCTTATAACCTAATCTAACCTATTAACTTCAAAATTTTCTGCCAATGTTTTTATTAATATTCAAACTTTATTTAATAAACACTTAAATTTTTAAGTATTAGGGTACCTAGGTTTCGATGTTACACAATAATATAATTTTATTACCGTAAGTTAAAACGTTAATATATTTAAGTAACATATTTTATTACTTTGTTTAATATCATCATATCTTAAAATAATTCTCTGCTGGACATCAACAGTGTCATATTATTTTTCATATAGTGAGAATTGATTGCCACACTTAGCAAGGGCTATCAATAAAAACAAACATTTTAATCTTTGAACAGTTCTGCGCTTTTCTGTTCTGGCACATCTTAAAAGTTATTATACCATTACCTTTTGTATATACTTCATCATATCTTTGACTAATGTCTATGGAAGGCCACCAGATTATGGTTATTTTCATTTTCACCTACAGACAATTTACACAATAACAATGTCCTCCAGACCGAACTTCGGTCCTGGCGGCCAGTTTCAACAAAGACTAGCCATCGCCACGGGACAGGATTATAGTGCGCAAGCACAGGTTCACTTTCTTTACCCTCACTCTCATAGTCCAATTGGTTGGTAAACCGACATAACCGGGAAAATATCTGGCGCAGGACCAACTGATTTACCTGCTTTCCGAGGCACGGGGTGAGTGAGACATCGCCAACTTCCTGACTCCAGGCTGCTCCTGAAAATTTCTTGATGGAAAAACCACTAAATAAAAAGCATCTACAAAATATTCTAGAACTAATCAAACAAAAACCACATTTCTTGCATATGCTATGAATATGCACTAACACTTATTTATTTATCAATCTCGACTACTTTTCAGAATTAAAACGGAGATTAGAAGATGACAGTACTCCATTACCGAAAAGGCTCCGTCTTGCTAAAAATGTAATACATTCTGCTTATTTTCCTGCTGCACCTAAGGAAAGGCTTGTTGCAGAATGGTTAGAGAGCATTACAGAGAGAAATGGTCTTTGTAGTAAAGATATAAAGGACATAATTAGTTGGCTACAGTTTGCTGATGATTTGACTAGTGATCTAAAATGCAGACTAATTAAGGTACATTATTTGTTTACATATTTATTTAAACGTAAGAAATACATAATATAATATATATTAACCTAAAATTTTTAGCTCAATCATACTTAATCTTTAATCCAAAATATATATAATACTTAAATTAAACATATAAAGAATATTTTATCTAAATATTCTGATGAGATTCAATCAGGCTCGACAACTTACAGCCTCCCGAACAAGCTGGTTTCCCCATTAGTGCCATTATCCCCATACATGCCCTTCGGCAAAATATGCAGAAAACTAAAGAGAAATCTCCCACTTTGTCTTGAGCATGTAGACTATGAAAAAGCCTTCGATTTTGTCTAAATTTCGGCAGGGTTACAGTCCCTACAGTGATGCCAAGTTGACTGTCGGTTTATTGAAGTGCTGAAGTGTTTGCAAAATAGGGTTATGATTGCTATCCAAGTACAGAACCAAAGTATTTAACCTATCCAACTGTAGAGAGGTATAAGACAGGGTGAAGTTATATCCCCAAAAATCTTCACCGGTGCATTGGAAAACGAGTTCAAGTCTCAGGACCATGCTTCATGGCAATCTTTGGGGAAGTCCTATATTCAACAGTAGACTTGTGTAGGACTGTAATGATGATGATGATACAACATACTCGTCAACAACTTCGAGCTTAGTGCTCCCAGTAACTACCATGATAGGTGTGACATGAACGTTACAAATGATATTTATTATGTCCATGTTCATCTTAAAACCTATCCATTGGAAGACACTATTGAGTATGTTTACTTGGGACAAATTTTCCGACCGATTAATTGGCTGATTCAACTGGGCTATGAAGCGTTAGAGAAATTACGACACAAAATCTTCTTGTCGATGATGAAATAGCTATTGTTTGTGCTTTTGTATAAGTAAAGTAAGGTGAAGTTACAGTCTTCATATTTTTCCTGCTAGGCACAGACATTCTCGTTTCTGGGAGGGCTATGAAGCAATTAATTTGCCACGTTGCTTCAAGGCCTGTCGGCTTACTTCACATGTCCTCCAAGTTTTTAAGCTATTCAAAAAATCAAAATCAAAAATATTTATTCTCAAACCAGTAATACTTAAAATTAAATACATTATTGGAACACTCCTTTTAAGTTCGGAAACTTGTGTTAGGAGGCTCCGCTCTTCCCGTCCTTCATTTCTATAAATTAGTGTTTAGAACTTGGGTAACACATAGATTTTTGACTTACAGTTGAACTTATGTAGTATTTTTTTACAATATAATATCCGTTGGTGTTAGTTGTGTGATTGTGTAGTGTATGTGTATGTGGTGTGTGCATGTTGAGGTATGGTATATTTAGTAAATTATTCATTATATGTAACAAGTTAAGTAATTCTTTCTAAAAGTGTTTCGGTTTCGTTGTAATTTAAGGTTTTCAACCATTCTATTGTTTTCTTTTTAACTTCTATGCTATGCAATGGATATATGCTTAAGATTTTATTTATTTTATTATATAAGTATACTGCCCTTTTCTCATATTGTACTGAAGCAAATGTCGTTTTACAGCGATCGGTATATAGAACTAAGTCGTTTCTTCTTTTTTTGTCTTGTCATATTCATACCTAGTAGATTTGTGAATTTTAAGCAATAAGAATAAAATATATAACTTTCGAACTGACAAGACACCAGACAAATTATAAAGGTCAGTAGTGGGGAATCGGTATGGTTTGAAATAGCAGACCTTAAGCAGGGCTCTTTGAGCTCGCTCAACCTCAAGGAATCTTGTTTTTAAAGCTCCTCCCCATACTGGGATACAATAAGTAAGAACAGATTGAGCCAGTGCTGTATATACTTTGATCAATAATTCGTTGGTTGTTACATGTCTTAACTTTTTGAAAATCCACATTAATTTTCTTATGCGGTCAGTTATTAATTCAATATGGTTATACCAAGACAGTCTCTGATCAATAATAACACCTAAATATTTTGTTTTCTCCACTCTATCAATAACAGCACAGTCACAATTAAAAAATAGGCTGTCTTGGCAAGTGTGTATTTTAATGCTGAAGTTGGCTGGTGGTTGAGTGTAATTGCAAATAGCAAAACAAATATAATTTGTTTTATGCGTGTTTAATGAGAGTAGGTTGTTACTTAACCAGGCTGCTATAGTTTTAAGTCCCGATTCTGTACGCATTTTCACTTCCTCCTAAGTGTCTCCCGAAAAAGTAACAGCTGTATCGTCAGCATAGGAGAAGATGTGACCGTGAGGAATAGAAAGTTTGCACAGCTCATTAATATAGACCAAAAACAGCGTAGGCCCTAAGACGCTACCCTGAGGGACGCCGAAAATAACATTTTCTTCGTCACTCAACACAGCGTCCACATGAACACGCTGAGTGCGCTCATGTAGGTAGCTGAACATCAGGTTTAGCGAAGTATCCCTGAAGCCGATAAGCTCCAAAAACTTTAAAAGATCAGGAATAGAGACCGTTTCAAAAGCCTTTCTCAGGTCTAAAAATACTGTAATACACTTTTTGCCATTATCTAAATTCTTTACGATTAAAGAGCTTAATGTGAGAATAGCGTCTTCTGTGGAAAGTTGTTTTCTAAAGCCAAATTGTTGATTTGATAAAATATTATATTTATTTAAGTAGTTTAATATCCTAGTATTTAAGATTTTCTCTACAATTTTGGACAAAGCTGGTAGGACAGAAATAGGGCGGTAGTTATTTATATCGTCTCTGTTTCCACTTTTATAAACAGGTGTTACTAATGATTGTTTAAGTGCGTAAGGAAATATACCACTCGTAAAACAGAGATTTATAAGGTAAGTGAATACGGGCACAAACAAATCCTTTCCCAACTTCAAAAACCTGCTTGGAATTTTATCCCACCCGGGAGCGCTATCAGAGTCAAGACTCATCAACACCCACTCTACTTCAGCATTAGCTGTTTCGAGCAAAACAAAAGAGTTTAAGAGTACAGTAGTAGAAGTGGATTTAGGAATCGAGCTGTATAGCATCTTAGACTTAATTTCTTCAGCCAGGCAACTACCTATTCCGGAGAAATATTTATTAATATAATTAACTGAATCCTGGGGTGTAGGTTTTATATTTAATAAACACGAATTTGAAACATTCTTTTTTTTAAATTGTGTAACTTCATTTATATTTTTCCAGAGAACTTTATTATTTTTACAAGATTTAGAAATGACACTACAATCATGTTTACATTTTTGTTTTTTAATAAGTTTATTACAAAAATTTCGGTAGCGACGGTAAGTGATCTTTAATATATCATTAGTTAGGTCTTGTTTTAGTTTTTTTTTTGCATAGCATTTCTGTTTCTTATGCATCGAAGTATACCTTCTGTCATCCAGGGGCTTGATAAATCTCTTTGTCCCAGGAACAGCTAAAATTTTGGTGTGTTTAACTAATGCAATAGATATTTTATCTATCAATATATTAGTTAGAGTATTTGGGTCTGTAGATAAGTACAAATCGTCAAAAACGTTTAAATGTAGACTTTTTAAGGCGGCATTAAAGTCAGTTACAGATTTCGTTTTATTAGATTTGCTTAAACTATTGTTGCCCACTAGGCTAAGTAGAGTCATATTGTGGTCTGTTATAGTTGTATCGAGTATTGCGACGAAAGCAGTTGTTCTTTTTTTATCAATTTTTAGCATAAAATGGTCCAAACAACGCAATCCTCTACTAGGGAAATGGTGGCCTGGAAGTATTTCATGTGTAGCCAAAGCGGTCAAATAAAGATTTCTGTTATTTCTTTCATAGCTTTGCTCACAAATAATAGGTAATTACATATATTGTTTGGTAAAACTTATATTAATGTCACCCGCTATAATAATATGACTAGTTTTAACTGAATTTAGATGTAAAGTGAATAAATTCGTCAGCTTTTGTGATGGAGGGGGAATGATATATACCTAAAATTGTGTATTGATTTATAGTTATTTGTAAACATGAAGCTTTGTATAAATTTATTTCCTTGACAAGTGCTCTGTAAACATTCTTTATGTAAACTACCACACCATCGTTTTGATTTAAATGAGTATTTGTCGAATAGGAACAGTAGCTATCTAAAGTGGGAATTGATTTATTTTTATCTAACCAGCACTCCGTCAAGATTATTATATCAATGCAAGGCTTAAGTTGCGCTAAGTGTATATAGTGTAGCTATTGCATAGCTTCTATCGCGGGCCTTGAGCGCGGGGACCGAATCCAGAAATTCCGTAACGAAAAAACCTCACGCTCCCCACTCCGACGGGCACGGAGGTGTGGCTTGAAGGCCGTGCATTGTCTAACGTCGTTTCTTTTCGGCAGTCTTCGACACGGTGTTTGTGTGCGTGCAACTAGACGTATTGTACAATTCTGCGAAGCTCGCACGAATCGAGACGAGCTGCTCCGAAATCGGATGAATACATAAGCAGCTGTTTATGAAAAAGTATATGGGTGTATAGGTATTTATGTACAACAATGAATAGCTGTACTTGTAAAATTTGTGTATAAAGTGTTTTGAATATGAATGAAAAAAGTGCATTTATTATTTATTAATTTAATAAAAGAAAAAAATTTGTTTTCTTATCGGTCACCACGCTCAAAAAGTGTAACTTGAATTAATATCAAAGAAAAAGAAATACTGCATAAATAAAATAAATAAATAATTATAATTGCATAAGTTGATACAAAATGCTATGCAATAGCTTTACCGCGGCAGTCCCCGAGTGCCACACGTCTTTTTTTATTTCACAGACATGCAGGTTTCTTCACTGCTGAGCTCATGGTAAATCAGCACTTAAAAGTGCGCTCGACAATTTCATTGGTCCTGGTGTGAATCAAACATTCTTTGCTCATCTTCTGTGAAATTTATAGCAAGCTTAGCCTCTGAGTTACCATGATTCTTTGAATATGGAAGATTAAAACAAATTTAGCCAATACTAATAATTACTTATATGCCGTAAATATTTAAGTGACTTATCTAAGATGTTAATCATGATACACTTTTGAAAAAATTAAGGCATTATGGTGTCTCAATAAACTCAGCACACCTTATAAAATCATACCTCTCCGATTGGTTACGAAAAGTAATTATTAATGGAATCTAGGCTTCTTGGAGCACCCTTAATTATGAGCATGGCAGAAAAAGATAACGAGAAGGTGACACTTACTATACTACTAAGGAACTAGTACTATTTATACTACAGATAAGAGCCTTTTGTGCCATATACAATACCAGGCTAAGAGACTCGCTTAGAGATATTTTTAAACAAATAAATATGTAACTGTTGCTTCATAGTCCATACTATTTATGTAAGAACTATTTTAACACCTTTAAAAAATTGAGTCCCATCCATTACTGTAATATGTATTAATTACAGATATACAGACCTACAGACTTCACAAAACCCATTTTTGAGGAGATGTACTACTGTTTATAACAGGATTCCCTGTAATATTACTGAGTTGCCTTTGCATAAATACAAGACATATAGAAAAAAGCATTCTAATAAAAAAATAAATGTTTCATATACAACACTATACAGATTAAAACTACTTTTACGATTATAAAAAAATAAAAATAACGCGATAAAAATAAAAGTAAATAAAAAGTAAAAATAAATGCGATAAAACCTAAAATAGTTTTAATCAAAAATAAGAATGCTTTGGGCATAATAAGTTTTATTCGTTTTTCTTTATAGATTTTTTTGTATATAATAATGACTCATATTCAAAATGTGTTGGCTAAATAAAAAAACCACAAAACGTGGATGTGATTGTGACACTAGGTCCAATTAAAATAAATTTTACATTAACACAAAAAACTCCAGAGTGAATTGGGAGTGAAACTCACCGCTTCTCCTACCAGAAAGAACAGATCAGTGTATGCAGAGCCAGCTGGTTAACTTGTAAACATGAATGGTTGGCCTTATCATTTGTTTTTACATCATAGTAATGATCCACGATGGTTTCTGTATCTTGATAACAGCGCCACCTAGTGGGTGCAATTTTGAATCTAAACCATCCAGAATCCAATCAAACAAAACAGATTTCAACTAAATCTGTCCAACCATTTTCGCGTTTTAGTTTAGCGAGACTAACGGGCAGAAATTAATTTGTATATATAGAGATATTTTTAACACAACCTTTGCACGCTAGACGACTCAGTAGTGCAATATCAAAGTGTTTGATAGGTATGGGCTGCAGGTTCAGATACTGCATTGAACAAGTGTGTGCTTTCCTGTATTTTTTTATAGTATAAGGGTGACAAACGAGCACACAGTCCACCTGATGGTAAGTGGATGCTGTGACCCATAGATATCTACATTTATCCTTGATAAAGAATCAAAATACAGATGCGTTATCACCCATGAGGACTAAGTTGAAATGCCTCATTTCCAGTAAAAAAGGTCTTTCTATTTTTAATTCTCTGTATTTTATATATAGAAAACATCTCTATGATACAGGAGAAAATTCCAAGGAGGAGAAAATCCTGACTTTTTAAATAATTATTACTTTTAACAAATAGTAAAAATCAACTAAAATCGCTAACAAAGAAGTTATTTATTTGCAACCCTTAGGGGATGAAATTTTTTCTCCAAATTTAAATGGTACCACTCTTGAAGTATAACCTGTTTAATAAAAAAAGAATCAACAAATTGGTTCTCAAAATCAAAAATATATACACAAATTGAGAACCTACTCCTTTTTAAAGTCGGTTAAAAAACCATATGAAGAGAATTAATATATTATTTAATTGTTTCAGGTTGTATCACAGTACCTGCACAGTAATCCTTTAAACAATGATGACATACAATACCTCATGTTGTTTCTTGAAAATGAGAAGTTATTAACATGTTTAAGACATCAAATTGATGATTATCTATTTATAACAACCACATTACTTCAAAATCTAAGAAATGATGAAACAGGAAAAAATATTTTCTGTCAGAAATTACTACATAATTTAATACAGTATTACAGAGAATGCAAAAAGAAATTAGAATTTATTGTGAAATTGTTAGATGGAGAAAATCTGGAAACACTTTTTAGTTATTTAGATTCAGAATATAGAAGTACAGTTTTAAATGTCTGTCAAAATATTCTGTTTCCTATCTCAAAGAAAGCATTCTTTGCGAGCTTCCTTCAAAATTTGATACGAAAAGACAACATAGACGAACTAACTGCTGAGAAAGGGGACAATATACAATCAGTTATAAAAATATTGAGTGTATTTTTCATGTTTCCAAAAGGAAGAACCGGAAAGGATCAAAAATTCCTAACAGATTTTGTTGATGTGTTTGTAACTTGTTTCCGTACTGAAAGTCCAATTATTTTCGCGTTTTATATTATGGCTGTAAATTCTTTAAATATGGTTCAAAACTATTTAAATCCCGCCATGAAAATGCCTCCGATAACTTTTGAAGTAAATGACGAAAAGATTAAAAGGAACATATTTTTAAAAATGTTGAACAGTTTGCTAGAAAACGAAATTGATATTAGTGTCAAATTAACAGATACGTTAGGTGAAAAGATAACAAGAGTAGAGATAAAAAAGAATTTCTTGACATTCCTCCAAGCAACAATGATGAGCTTATTGAAATTAGAGGGCAAGCCGGATAAAACAACAATACAAATTATAAAAGCAGCATTAAAACTAGATCCTTCAATAATTGAACAAAAATTAGACCTTATTCTTCCAGCAATAATGACCGCTAAAAAGAACAGCTCCTCTGTTTTAGAATCATACATAGAAATGTTAAATTGTTTGATTGAAACACTATTCAAACTCAGCCGAGGCACATTATTTATTAATCAAATTCTTTCTCACATAAAATTGAGTTTAGAAGCATTAAACGTAGAACAGTTTGAACTAACACAAAAATTAAAAAACAACTTAGATAACCTAGACTCACAAGAAAAGATAAAAAATAAAATCATAACAGGATATGATATATTTCCTGAAGAATGTGTAGAAATGTATGGAAAGTGGACTTCCGAATTGATGTTTCGACAAAATAAAGGCTTGCTGACATCTTTACAAAAAGATTTAGAAGAAAATTGCTTGATGATGCTGGAAGAAGGATTTGTCAGTATGTATCAACTGAATTAATGATTTCTTATAATATTTACGCGAACCCAACATTTTGAATGAAACAATTTTTTTTTGTTTACAGAATTTATCGCGTTTTAATCGTGATAATATTGATATTTACTTCTATGCTATTAATTCCATCAAAAAAACTAGTTTCGTTCAATCACCTGCATTGTTGGTTACTTAATAATTTGAAGATGTCATGATATCAGACATAGTTCTTAGACAACATTTATTACTTCTTCAAGGATCGCAGTTAAGTTGCTCGCGGGCTACGGAATTAAAAGCAACCGTCCCACTCTTATTACCACTATTTATTATATATTTTTGAGATCAATTTAAAGCCCATCAACACGCGTGTGAGCAGTGTGTCCAACTTCCTGCATTATCGTCTCAATAATTTAATTAGTACTTATATATTTTTTCAATGGCTCAAAGGCATTATATTATCATCGGTGTGACAAGAGTATCTCACTTGGAGGGTGAAGGAAAAATAAAAAATAAAATCATACTCTTCTTAAATACCTTAGGGCGCGAATTGATCAGCTTGTACATACTAAATAGTAGCGACAGAAGAACTCTGAAACAAAATCTTAACTCTCTGAGTGTCATAAAAGGTGATTTAGGGTTCCGATAGATGGCGGTATAAACAATATCTTTCGCCATCTTGTTTTTATGAAATATTCGGATAGACGTTGGGAAGCTTCGCCAAAAGTGTAAGATGCTCCATCACCAATCTACACTTCTGTTTACCGGTTAATTATTGTGAACGCATATAGGCTGTTATCTTCTTCTTATTTATATTTTTAGTTTTACACTGTTGCCCATAGTTTATAAAGATTTTTTGTGGTCGTCACTATAGAAAATAGTTCATGATAAGAAGTAGAAACTTCTTATCATAAACTATTGAGGTGTTGGGGCAGCTAACTTTCATCATCATCATCATCATTACAGCCCTTCACAAGTCCACTGCTGAACATAAGCCTCCCCCAAGTAACGCCACAAAGCACGGTCCTGAGCCACCTGCATCCATCGACTTCCTGCATGTCTTACCAGGTCGTCACTCCATCTAGTGGGGGGTCGCCCTACACTACGCCTACCGGTACGAGGCTGCCACTCGAGAACCTTTCTCCCCCATCGGTTATCGGTTCTTCGAGCTATATGGCTGGCCCATTGCCACTTCAGCTTACTAATCCGTTCGGCTATGTCGGTCACTCTGGTTCTACTGCGGATATCCTCAATTCTGAGTCTATCACGCAGAGAAATTCCGAGCATAGCCCTCTCCATAGCTCGCTGAGCGACTTTGAGCGTCCTCATACGGCCAGCGGTGAAGGATCACGTCTCTGATCCGTAAGTCATCACTGGCAACACGCACTGGTTGTACACTTTAGTTTTCAGAGATTGAGGTATACCTGACGTGAAGATGTGTCGTAATTTCCCGAACGCTGCCAGCCGGGTTGAATCCGTCGATTGACCTCTCGGTCGAAGTTGGACTTACCTAGTCGGACTATTTGTCCCAGGTAAACGTACTCGTCAACAACTTCGAGCATAGTGCTCCCAACAACTACCGGCATAGGTGTGACATGGACATTAAACATGATCTTTGTTTTGTCCATGTTCATCTTAAGACCTATCCATTGGGAGACACCATTGAGGTCATTGAGCATAGTGCTAAGGTCCTCCAGCGATTCTGCCATAAGGACTATATCGTCGGCAAATCGAAGGTGAGTGATGTACTCGCCATTGATGTTAATACCGTATCCTTTCCAGTCCAATAGCTTGAAAACGTCTTCCAACGCAGCGGTGAAGAGTTTCGGGGATATAACGTCACCCTGTCTTACACCTCTCTGCAGCTGGATAGGTTTCGAACTCTGGTTCTGTACTCGGATAGCCATCGTAGCCCTACTGTACAAACACTTCAGCACTTCGATATACCGACAGTCAACTTGGCACCGCTGAAGGGACTGTAGCACCGCCCAAATTTCGACGGAATCAAAGGCTTTCTCATAGTCCACATACGCCAGGCAAAGTGGCAGATTGTACTCCTCGGTCTTCTGTACAATCTGCCGCATGGTATGTATGTGGTCTATCGTACTGAAGCCTTTTCGGAAACCGGCTTGTTCGGGAGGCTGGAAGTCGTCGAGTCTGCGTGCGAGACGATTCGTAATGACTCTCGAAAACAGCACGTAGACGCGGCTCAGAAGGGATATCGGTCTGTAGTTCTTCAAGAGGGCGTTGTCAACGTTCTTGAATAACAAGACCACCGCACTTCTGCTCCACGCCTCCGGAGTAGTGCCACAATGGAGGACGGAATTGAAAAGCTTCTGAAGGACTTCAAGTACCGGTGTTCCACCCGCTTTCAGAAGCTCCGCTGTAATTCCATCCTCGCCTGGGGCCCTGCCGTTTTTAAGGTGCTGGAGAGCCATTCTAATCTCGCTCAGACTGACGTCCGGGATATCATCGGAATAGTGTCGGGTAAGACTTGCTCTTGGATCGTTACTCACACTTGCGTGTGGCTCCAACGATGATGTGTACAGCTGCCCATAGAACCTCTCAATCTCACTCAAAATCTCAGGTGTCTCGGAAACGATGCTGCCACACTCAGTCTTCAGTTTTGACAGTTGGCTCTTTCTGGCAGACAGATCTCTGGCAAAGACTTTGGAGCCCTGGTTCCGCTCGATCGCTTCTTTAATACGAGCAGTATTAAAGTTGCGTAAGTCTCGCCGCATGCATTTGGAAATCTGTCTGTTCAGTTGCCTGTATGCTGTCAAATCTGTTGACGATTGCAGCCTCGTCTCCCGTCTAACAGTCATGAGATTAAGAGTGTGATCGGAGAGTTTTTGTGTTCTGCGGCGGGTCTTGCAGAACTTAGCTCCGACCGCATGGACAGTTTCCACGAGCTTGTCGTTCATATCGTCCACTGCATTGCAATCTTCTAGGCACTGAAAGCGGTTACGTAACTCGAGCTGAAAAGATTCGGGATTCTGGATTAGAGAACGAGGGGGACGGAGCGTTGACTTCATTAGACGAGACCTCTCCAACTTAAGGTTTAGGTTCAGTGTGCCTCTAACCATTCGGTGATCGCTGCCGGTTTTCACCCTTGCGATCACTGAGACATCACTGAATAGTTGGCGTCTGGTCGTCATAATGAGTCAATCTCATTTTTTGTCGAACCGTCGGGGCTCGACCAGGTCCACTTCCTGTGGGGCCGCTTCTGGAAGAAAGAGTTCATCATAAAGAGTCCCTCTTTCTCCATAAAGTCAGCCAGCTGCTGGCCCCTACGGTTCCGTTGCCCTACTCCAAAATTCCCTAACTTCAGCTCACCGTCTTCTCTTGTGCCTAGTTTTGCGTTGAAGTCTCCCATCAACACCGTGTAGTGGGTTTTGAAGGAATGCATGGCTCTAGAAATATCCTCATACATTTCCTCCACCTCCTCATCGGGATGTGCCGAGGTTGGTGCGTAGACCTGTATGACCTTCAGCGAATACCGTTTGGTGATTCTGAGTATCAGGTACGCGACCCTCGTCGACACACTCCCAATCTTTACAACGTTGTTGACGAGAGACTTGTGGACGATAAATCCGACACCTCCTTGGGACAGATGGTCGCCCTCCCGGTGATAGAACAAGTTGCCGGACTCGAGGATTACCGTGTCCTCCCCCTCTCTTCGGATCTCAGATAATCCAATAATATGCCAGCGCAACTTGTCTACCTCTTCTTCCAGCTCCAGTATCTTCTCGTCAGTCCTCAGGGTGCGTGCGTTATACGTTGCCAGGTCGAGTCGTCGTAGGTGGCAACCGAACCTCCACCGGAGATTCTTAGCACCCCCTGCCCCGCCGTTACCATGGTCGCCACCGTAGCCAGGAATATCGGGGCCGCCGGGGACTGGGGGCCGTTTATTTGCGTCGTTGCTCATGGGGGGATATTTGCCATAGTTGCCACGCTTGGCGAGCGGGTTGGCAACCGCAGTTTTTTATTGTCATAGTTGTTATTAGGAAGATGCTGCTGCCCATCTCCTTTCTGTGTCCCTCTGTCGCCTCTTACGACACCCACGGGAAGATATGGGGTAGTGGATATTCTCAACCGCCACTACACGGCAGCTAACTTTATCTCAACTATAATGCTTGTATGTGGCAAAGTTGTTATTTGATATTGATTAGTTGCATTATATCGCAATTCCAACAAAGGGGTAATTTTTTATCTCAATAAATTTCAGGTCCCTCGATAATTATACTAACGGAAATGATGTCAGCCATTTTGTCTAGCTTCTTCAGATACAGCAAAATGGCGGATCATACAGTACCACAACCGATTGCCGAAGAATTCTGGTCCTCTTTCGAATTATTCGAAGAAGAATGCTTAAAAAAATTTGGTGAATGTGTTTTAAAGCTTACCTACGTAAGTATACAACTTTTCAACAAACTTTTTTTTATATAATAAGGGTGACAAACGGGTTAGTCCACATGATTGTAAGTGGATGCTTTGACCCAAAACATTTACATTTATCCTCGATTAAGAATCGAAATTAAGATGCGTTATCACCCATGAAGACTATGATGGAATACATCCTTTCCGGTAAAAAAGGATCTTCGGTTCTCTACACTCACCATACGAAACACAGCAGCATTTTTTAAATCTTTTGATATCCATTTGAGAATTACGCGATATTTTTTACCTGTGCATACATCTTATATGGAATATTTTCTGTTTAGAAAATCGTTTGGCTATTTCTGCCGCCAAGCAGTACCAGTGTTATTTTACAGTTTGAAGAGTTGGATAAATAATATGACAGTTATTCAGTTTTTTTTATAGAATACAGTCCACCTGATAAGTGGATGCTGAGGCCCATAGACATCTACATTTATCCTCGATTAAGAATCAAAACGTAGATGCGTTGTCGCCCCTGAGGACTACGATGAAATGCCTCGTTTCCGGTAAAAAAGAGTCTCCGGATCTATACACTCACCATACGAAACACAGCAGTATTTAGCTGCTATTTTACGCTGATGTTCTGTGAGAACGTGGTCCTTCCCCTTCCCCGGTCGAGCCGACCCATTCGTGCTACAACCATAATATACCTACAGCGTGGCTCTATCATCCCAAGTAAGCGAAATTGATATTAGATTTTTTCAATATTATGCCAGCTGTATACACTCGCTGAGACAGTACAAGACGGGCCGAGAGCAAGTGTCTACATAGAACTCTGGTCTCCTTTTGCCTCGCCACCTCTCGGTCTCGTGTCGGTTTTTTGCGCCCGAGTCAAATGGTCTCGTGAACGGTGTCCACAGTTCAACAGATACAACAAATGTGTAGACTGTATGCCCTCTCCGAGAGGTTCGAATTCCCTGACAACTCGAGACTCGGTGACAGGCTCTCGATGGATGTGTACAGCTGACATTAGAGTATCATACGAGGTGAGAGTACCCCTGATAGGTGTTTATGTAGCACACGGATACTAGCAACCCATTGGTAGAGACACGCTGCAGCTATATTATGATTGAAGCAGGAATGGGTCGGCTTGACCGGGGTAGGACCACACTTTCACGGAATACCAGTGTAAAATAGCATCTTAATGTTGCTGTGTTTTGTATAGTGAGTGTAGAGAACCCGAGACCCTTTTTACTGGAAACGAGCCATGCCATTGTAGTCATTAGAGTGTAGGGGTGACTACGCATCTTCATTTTGATCATTAATTAAAGACATAATGTAAATGTCTATGGGCCACAGGATCCGCTCACCATCAGGTGGACTGTGTGCTCGTTTGTCACAAAGGCGGAAACGAAGCCCCATCACATAGCAATTAGATTTTTACATACCTTTTAAAGTCAATAAAATAATAGTAACACTTCCTTTTACCAAAACCTCATTGAGCTGTCAACGATGGAAATTATATTCTTCCATAGAAGGAGCAATTATCCGGAATCGCTATGCTGTTCAGGTGAATTTATTATCACCCAATAACATTATTTGAATATTTTTTTCTTATAGAATAAGGATGACAAACGAAGATACAGTCCACCTGTTAGTAAATGGATGTTGTGGCCTATAGACATCTTCATTGATCCTCCATTAAGAATCAAAATTCAGATGCGTTGTCATCCCTGGGAACTAACATGGAGCGCCTCATTTCGGATAAAAGAATCACTAGTTCTCCACACCTTCATAAGAAACACAGCAGCATTAAGCAGCTTGTTTACACTGATATATTGTGAGAGCGGCGAGGTCCTATCTCGGTCGAGCCGACCATAACGTTGCTGCAGTGTGGTTTGATATTCTTTAAAGTCTAAATTTTATTTTCAGAATCCACCATTGGTTCTTTCTTTCTTAAAACTTTGCTTAAGTTATTCCCAACTGAAGCTGCTTAACTTAAAATATGGCAACACAAAGCTAAAAGATATGGCAATACAAACGACAGACGTTTTTGATTGTAGCGTTATTCTGCCTTGCTTAAAAAGCGATCAGTGGACATCTCTAGCTCAAATGATACAAGACGATGAAGCCATGTTAGTTTGGGTAAGTTTTTAAATTATTGGCATTGTGCATATGAAAAATAATAGTTTAGTGTTCTATCTTTACTCCGCCTTACTTTCACTGGACCAAGAGCAAAAGTAAATAAAAAAAATGTTATTTAATACTTTCACTTTGTATATTCGTGTAAATGGCTAAAGTAAAGCGACGAAACGAGATAAAGATTGTAAAAAGGCTGACTAATACCGAGTCAAGTTACGACAGCGATGCGATTACCACTGTTGCTATGTAATTTATGGTACGAAAAAGCAGGTGCACGTGTTGATAACATTTGGCTAAAATGATCCATCTTTTCAATTTAAGTTAATTCCTGTTTGGAATGTACTTAAAGTGTAACTTATTGTTTTCATTCTCGTTGCTTTAGTTTGTTTTATGTTATAAATTCAATATTAGTGTGTTTTTTTCATTAGTCGTTAAACGCAACGAATCATTTCAACTATGAAGTAGCCTGGCAGCCCCAAACACGTAAAAGAAGTTAATTCCTTACGAAAAACACGTCAAAAATAAGTTATTTTATGTGTGTTATTTGTAGAGCTACCGCAAATGATTGATAATACAATAGGCAGTTCTATGATAAATGTAACAGATTCAGACTCTTCTAAAGAATGTGATTTATCTAAAAGACACTTCGACGATTAATTGTAAATATTTTCTGTAAAAACATGTTTTGAACCTCTGAAATTTTTTATACATTCTCTATCTCGTTTTTAATTTAAATCATTAAGTAATCCTTCTATAAAATATAAAAAACTTTAATTGTTAACTTTAAAAAAAACATGGATATGAATGAATATTTTTTAAACATTAAAGACTATAAACTCTAATACTAGCTTAGTAGTTACGCATTTTAAGGTATAAAATGCTTATAATTTTACTTTAATACATTTCGAAAAAATATCTTATTTCAGGATAATCTACTCATTATAAAAACAATGGCTATAGAATTTTTTAATATAAAACATCCTGACGAATGCCAAATAGAAGCTGTGGTAGCGATTAAAACACATTTAATTAAGAATTTATCAGAAAATTACAATGTTATTGGCAGTGATACTTATTTTACTAGAGAATTATTTAGAAACTTAGATGGAAGCCAAACAAAGCAGTTGGCGAAATCCTTAGTCAAACTGTTTATAAATGGCGTCGTTTGTGATACATTTAAAAGTTACGCTGTTACTAAAAATAGGACCTTATTAAATGCTCTTGTATTGGAAAGTGCCAAAAATATAATCAAATTCTTCGCAAATGACAACATCCTTGCTAAAGCTATGAATAAAACAGATTTTGACATTGTAAGATTTCTGCAAACGGTTAATATTAAAGAGTTTTTTAATGGACTGACAATAGACAGTGACACTCAGCATGAAAATATTTTAAAATACATTGAAATTTTAAAAGATCTCCAAATTCACAATCTAGAAGAGCAATATCAATTAACGGCAATTTTCGTTTTGTTAGCTCTAAAAAAGTGTTGTCATGCGAAAAAAATACGTAGAAATATTGATCACATATTACAAATCACGTATGAATTGAGTCCGAAATACCCAGATCTGTACAAAATTTTTCCTGTAGATTTTATATTTTCGTTTGAAAATAACGCTATTTTAAATCTATTGACTTTATCAATAAAAATGTCGAACAGCTTATTGATAGTTAAAAGTACTCTAGAGGTAGCTGTAAAGAAAGTGAAAACTGATAGCAAAATAGTGGAAAATTTAATAGATATTCTTTTGTCTAAGCCTTCAATGAATGTGTCCCATATAAAATATTTCGATGACAACACATTCCAACTTCAGTGCATTATCTTGCCTATCATTGCTAAAGAAAAAAGAGCAGCAGCAGCTAGTGCCTTTAGGGTTATATTGGCGAATGCGCAAGAAAAATTACATCAAGCATTGCTAGAATCTTTTATGCATATAGATTTTACCAAAGTTGGCAGCTTATGTGCCGATGATAATGGCAACACTGATGACAGTATAGTGTCAGAAAGGAGTATGGCAACATTGAACGCTATCGGCGCATACTCATTGACGTTGTTGAAGTATTGCGAAATGACTGATACAGAGGCAATAAAAAAACTGGATTGCTTGTGGTCAGGATTGGAATTTTTTGTTCAGAATGCTGTGAGTATAATTTATATAATTTTTACATTTACTCGAATTTTTATTTATTTCTCTTTACATTTCAATTTGAACTTGGCGGTTTTTTTAGCAATTTAAAGATTATATTTTTTATAGCATTGGTTGACAAACGAGCACACAGTTCACCTGATGGTAAATAGATGCTGAGGCCCATGGACATCCATAAACATTTAAACTAAGGTTCGTTCAAAATGCAAATGCGTTGTCACATCTAAGATAGAATGCCTCGTTTTCAGTAAAAAGGGTCTCCGGTTCTCTACACTCACCATACGAAATACAGCAGCATTACGCTGGTATTCTGTAAGAGCGTGGTCCTGTCCCAGTCGAGCCGACCCATTCGTGCTACAACTATAATATAGCTGCAACGTGGCTCTACCACGTAAAAAACGTATTTGCTAGTTCGCTAACCAAGCGAAGAAAAATATATGTTTCATCATCATCATCATCATCATCATTACAGCCCTTCACAAGTCTACTGCGGAACATAGGCCTCTCCCAAGAAACGACACAAAGCACGGTCCTGAGTCATCTGCATCTATTGACTTTCTGCAACTTATAAAAAGACTGCCCTGTGCCCAGCAAAGTTGCCAGCAGATTGTCCATGGGCTACAGAAGCCACTTACCATGAGTTATTATCTGGCTTGTCACTTTAATATTATTAAATATTTTTATTACATTACAGATTAAAACAGTGGAGAATCCAAAAGCGAAAAACCACCATATAGACTCGTCTATACAACTCCTAAACATCATTCTGAGATACATCAAGAAACTGGAATCTCATAAAATATTTAAAGACAAAGATGCGCTTTTTAAACAAATCTGGCAAAGTATAAAAGCAAGGTTGCTCATGAATTTTGACAAAAATAATAAAAAAAGTATCAACAGCAATATTTTGGAGGGTATTTCGGTAACATTGAAATTCTTAGCCGAATTGTCCTCCGTGGATTGTTTCGTGTCGCATTTTGTTTCGGATATAATCAGCTTGGCCGTTTTAAAGGTAAGTTTATTTGTGGCCTAGTAGTCAGAATACCTGGCTTATGGTTAAAGTCAAACGCAATTCAATTTTAAGATGTCGTTAAATCTCGTGGTGTCACAGTCACGTTGACTTAAAGTGATAGAGATAGCATGAGACTTAACGGCATCATTGGATTCAAATTCCAGTTACAATTTGTTGGTTTTGAGGCTTTTTTTATAGAAGAGGGAAAACGAGCATGCGGCTCATCTGATGTTAAGTGACTACCGCCGCCCATGATCAACCGCACACTTTAGAAAGGAGTAAACTCTTTTCTTGAAGGTCCCCAGGTCGTATCGGTCCGGAAAAATCGCCGGTGGTAAACTATTCCACAGAGAGGTCGTACGCGGAAGGAAAACTCCTTGTGAGACGTTCAGTGGTGGACCGCCAAGCATCCAGATGGTGTGGATGGTATCAGGACGTATGCCGCGTAGTGCGTTCACGAAATTTGGTGGCTGGGATTAATCCGAACAATTCCTAAGAGCACTCCCCATGGTATATGTGAAAGAAAATGCAAAGAGATGCAACATCTCTTCGCAGCGCCAATGCGATTGTCACCGTGCCTCTGACATTGCATTGTTACTATACGCGTATATTTATAATTAATTAGATGAAACTAAGTAAGACATAGTATATTAATTTTTTTAAAAGAGAAACATATTTTGCTGCTTTGAATCCTATTAACAGTCTCAAAAGCGAATTTTGTTGTGAAGCTTTCAAAACAGATAGTAATATCAGCTTTTATTAAAATATAGTAGTTTCTCCTACTATATTTTCTTTAATCATATTCTGCATATACCTTATATAGTAAGATATTATATTAGTAAAGTTGGCAACACTAACTAGGACAGGTGCTCCTTTTTAGCTCGCTTTTTCTGAGGGCCTCTTAATTAAATCTGTATATATATGATTCAAGACGACTCCGTGGCGCAGTGGCTTAGCTATGAGTGGCTGCGCTGGGGTCGCGGGTTCGAATCCCGCACGGATCAAGTATTTGTATGGCCTACAAATAATTTTTCCGGGTCTGGATGTTTGTCCTTGTGCAATTTATGTTTGTAAACTGCCCCCACGATACAGGAGAAAATTCTAGTGTAGGGGTAACGTCTTTTAAAAAGAAAAAAAAATCAATCGTATCATCAAGCATTATCGACCCAATGGGAAGAGTCGAATTGCTGTAATCGCCACACTTAGCAGGCGGTACATATGACTCGAAGAACCGTCAACCTATAGGGAAGAAAGGTACTCAAGTGGCAGCTTCGTAAGCTAAGTGTAGGGTGGCTTTCCACTACATGGAGTGACGACCTGGTAAGATATGCAGGAAGTGTATGGATTCAGGTGGCTCAGGACCTTCGTGGGATTCCTTGGGAAGACCTATGTTTAGCAGTGAAGGAAGAGCGAAAAACCAGACCGAATTTCGGCCACGGCAGGCTGCCTCAACGGAGGCTAGCCATCAGCGCAGGACAGGATTATAGTGCCCAAGCGTATGCGCAAGCACAGGTGCACTTTCTATTCCCTCACTCTCATAACCCGATGGGACGGTAAACCGACACGACCGGAGAGAGATCAGGCGCAGGACCAACGGCTTTACGTGCTTTGCGAGGTACGGGAGTGAGACACCGCCAACTTCCTGACTCCGGGCAGCTACTGAGAATTTATTGACAGAAAAACTCAATAGTTGATGTTTTGGCCCGACCCGGGATTCGAACCCAGGACCTTATGATCAGTAGTCGCACTACTACAACCACTAGACCGACTAGGCAGCTGTAATGATAATGATAAAGGGAACTACGTATCTTCCTAGTGTTCCTCATAATCATCAAGTCGTCAAACTTTCATTTCAGAAACCATCCATAATCTTGAAGAATGAAGACATAACCAACTCCCAACTGACATCACATTACACATCTAAGTATTTTCTCCAACATTGCCTTAAAGCAAATATTGTAGGCCCCAAGTGTATTGGCCTAACAAAGCAAATCTTTCGTACATGTAAAAACGCCAAATTCTGGATCCATCAGCATTATGATAATAACCAGGAATTGGAAAGGGATAAAAAGGATTTAGAGACGAATAAAGTAGAACAAAATGAAGATATAAGTGACACTACGTTGCGTGTAGTGAAGGTAGACGACGCGATTTGCGAACTGCTGAGGATCGATCTGGATATGCTTTCGGAAGTTGTTTTGGCAGCAAAAAAGGTATTTTATTTTTTTAAATTACAAAGTTGATCTTATTTTTCTTAATAGGCCAATGTTTAACCAAGATTCTACCTGGCATAAACTCTTCGATTTTTGAGCACCAACATTAGAAATGATTAATGCTTAAGAAATTTTACCTACGATTTTATACTTTCCCATTTTATTCTTCTTATAAGAAACACATTTTATATTAAAATAAATAATGTCCTCCAGACCGAATTTCGGTCACGGCGGCTAGCCTCAACGGAGACTTAGCCATCGGCGCAAGACAGGATTATAGTGCCCAAGTGTATGCACAAGCACAGGTGCACTCTCTATTCCCTCTCTCTCTCATAATCCGGTGTGACAGTTAACCGACACGACCGGAGAGAGATCAGGCGCAGGACCAACGGCTTTACGTTCTTTCCAAGGCACGGGGGTGAGACACCGCCAGCTTCCTGACTCCGGACAGCTACTGAGAATTTCTTGAAGGAAAAACTCAATAATTAATTTTCCCCGACCCGGGATTCGAACCCAGGACCTGATGACCAGCAGTCGCACTACTACAATCACTAGACCAACGAGGCAGTCAATAGAAGTAAGTAAAATAAATAATTAATGGCGTCCTAAACAATGAGAACTTACCCTATTAATAAAAAATGGTATATTTGAATGGTATATTCATAGCAGCTTTTATTGGCCGAAAACTATATACATATTTGTGGTGGGCTGTAATACCAATGACTATGAAAAATTTTCTTAATTTTACTGACCCCAGTGTACCAAGAAAAACTTTTTTATCTGCTCATTATGCCAATTTTTTAATTAAAAAAAAACGTGATTATTTTTTAATTATGAAAGTTTATAATTATATTGCACAAATACATATTTATATAAATAATATTGAAAACTGTTTGGTAGCATAGTTTCCTAGAAATTTTTTGAATCATGTATTTATTTAATATGATGATAGCCCTTTTTAAATATTTTTTAAAGAAAAACTGAACAATTCGTGGAAATTTGTTGTAAAAGGGATATGAAATAGTATCGCCATTATAGGAGGCCACAGGATCTTCCGGATTAGTAGTTAAACTCGAACTACACCCATGGAACCTAACTCTTACACTATCACTAGGTAGTAAATTGGATTAATATATAGAAATCAAAAGATTAGTTTTTAAATAGTTTTAAAATTAAATATTTCAGATGGCTTTGGACTATAGATTCCTCGATGCAATCTTCGAGCTTCTACATATGGTACAATACATTTTGGGCTGTAACACGATATCTACAAAGTGTGAAATCAGTTGGAAATCGTTCTTTGGATTGTATGAAGGCTGTATGGCTGTATTAAATAACTTATTAATGTCACGAGAGGAACTATTGGAAGATAGGCAAGTAATTTTTTAGGTTAATAGTTCCGCTAAACAAGGCAGATTCCGTTTTTGGGCTCTTGTTGTAATGGCTTAAAAGTTTTGTAATGGCTTAAGTCACACTAGAACTTCTTTCCTGTATTGTGGCTACGTTTCATATATTATCAATACATAAACACATCAACAGAATCTAGGGATATTTAATATTTCATCAAATATCTAAAAATCTATGAAGAATTTTCTGATATAGTAAATGGTAGAATGATAGGTTATTTAAAAGTTTTTAATAAAAAAATAAAAAACATTTCGTTCGGTATTTTTTGTTTTAAATAAAAATATTATTTTTTTAATCGCCGTAGAAAATTAGTTTAAAAAAAATTAATTTCTTATTATAAAACTATTAATTTTGATTAAAATTGAAAAAATCTTATAAAATCTAATTATTAATACTGATTATATTATATTTCCACCTCTTACATTAATTACAAATCGACATCGATTGTTCTTACTTAAAATTAAATTGTCAATGTCATGCTACGGTATGATATCCAATGTTCTTTACAAGTGTTTGTAAAGTTGTTGTTCCGTCGTCAAATTTGGCGGAAATCACTTAAAGCTTTTCGTTGTAACATGTCCCATTCACGCTCGATAGTATTTAAGTCGGGTGACTGTGCAGTTCAATCAAAAATTTAAATATCGTGGTCTTGGAGAGCGGTCGACACCGTCGCCGTATGGTAGGGACCGCTATCGTGCATGAGTAGAAATTCCTGGCCTGGTATTTTTGTGCAGTCATGCTGCCTTGAATCCAAACGAGCTGGGTTCATATGCCAAAACGAATTCCTGCCACCACCATGATTCTCCCGCCCTGGTATGTGTTGACCTCTTGAGGGTGCCGTAGATGGCTAACTCTAGAGTTTTCCAAACGCTTGTTCTTCGTGAATCCGGATGAAACCCAAACCGTGACTCATCAATGAACAGCACGCAAGACCGTTGTTCGTCACTCCGTTGTAAATGCTCCCGAGCCCACGAAAGCAGCCAACCGCGATTGCCACGTCGCAATGCTGAAGCACGTAGCGGTCTTCGAGCGTGAAGACCAACTTCATGAAAACTCCTTCGCACGGGGTGGTCGCTTACCATCAGCTGGTATCCTCCTCCTGGACCCTTTGCAGTAGTTGCATCCAAGTGATATTTTTTTTAACATTGGGTGACAAACGAGCACACAGTCCACCTGATGGTAAGTGAATGCTGTGGTCCATAGACCCCACATTTGTCCTCAAGAATCAAAATGCAAATGCGTTGTCACCCCTGAGGACTAAGATGGAATGCCTCGATTCCAGTAAAAAGGGTCTCCGATTCTGTACACTCAACATACGGAACACAGCAGCGTTACACTACTATTTCACGCTGATATTCTGTAAGAGCGTAGTCTTGCCCTGGGTGAGCTGACTCATTCGAGATACAACTATAATATAGCTGCAGCGTGACGATACAACTATAATATAGCTGCAGCGTGACTCTACCATATACAAAACTTGGGTTGTCTTCTGGCAGTCATTTGGAGAAATCGATCCTGTCTCTGCGTAGTACCACGATACTACCCTATGCCGTTCAGCCACATCCCCAGTACTGCGATACCGTGACCACAACCTTGATATCACATTTTGGCTTGTGTGCAGGCACTCAGCAACGACGCATTGAGTAGCACTATTTTCTATCATGCTCACGGCTCGTAACATTTCATCTCGACTCAAATGATTCACACGAAAGCGAAAGCTCACACGGCATATTAAATTAAAATAGAAAATCAATATAATCGCTTTCCCTTAATTAATATCAGTAGAACAATTTCCTTGACGTAACGAATTACTAACAATTTTGCCGTCGTACTATGTTTTTTCTTTTGTTTTTTTTTATTTCCGTTTTAAAATTTCGAAAATAGAATAAAAGAAATTTCAATGTGTATATAAACTTTTTATGTAAACTAAAAAAAATTTAAACTCTAAAGTTGTAAATAATTTAAGGTTAAGGTATCTCTAGGTTCTGTGATGTGTTTATATATAAAAATGTCTTGTATATATATGCAGGCATGTTTTATATATATATATAATCTGCGGCTGCCCTAAATACTCAGGCGCGGGAAAAGCACTCAGCATGAGTGCTGACTCATGAGCTTAGCACTCACTTCTCAGTCATCAAAATAATTGTCACTCACTGCATACTCCTGTATGTGGTAAAGCGATGCTGTAGTTATAGTGTCGCGCGAATGGTTCGGCTCGACCGGGTAAGGTCCACTCTCTTACAGAATACCAGTGTGAAGTAGCACCATAATGCTGCTGTGTTTTGAATGTTGAATACCTTTTTTACTAGAAAGAAAGCATTTCATAGTAGTCCTCAGGAGTGACAACTCTTTTGTCACCCTTATATTATAAACAAACTGCACTACATTACGTCGTTTTATGATTCGTGATAGCTCTTGTAGAAAAACTACTTATATATAGCATATAAACCAAAGTACTACAAAGTTTTGATATCAAGAAAGTTAGCTAATAGGCCCACTGGTTTCGTAGGTGTCATAAAAGTCAGTCTAGTGCCCTTCTATAGATGTTTTTTTACAGGATAAGGGTGTCAAACTAGCACATAGTCCACCTGATGGTAAGTGGATGCTTTCGCCCATAGACATCTACGTCTATCATTGATTAAGAACCAAAATACAGATTCGTTGTCATCCATAATAACTGAGATGGAATGCCTCGTTTTCAGTAAAAAGGATCTCCGGTTCTTTATACTCACCGTACGAAACACAGCATTGATCTGCTATTTCACACTGATATTCTGTGAGAGCGTGGTCCTTCCCCGGTCAAGCCGACCAGTTCGTGGTCTACCATGAAATGATGATAAAAATGGTGTTTCCATTATGGCAAATCATTCCTATTAAATAAAAAAACTATTTCCACCAATAGAGTAAAAGTTACTCCTGACTACAACAATTATATTTTGGGTTACAGGTGGCCCTGTTATATGCAATGCTATAAAACGCTCATCTTGTGCTTATGCGAACGAGCTATGTCCTTCGACCAAATAGATCGAAGCATAGAACAGAAGCTAGCAGAAACAGCACATTCTATTGAAAAGTAAGTGAAGAGAAATTTGAAGAAGATGTCAAACAAATATTGGTGAAACCGCAATATAATCCACCAAGTAGTTTTTAGGTTTTAAGCGACTCGTAAACAGATATGATTTCGGTAAAAGTAAAAAAAGTAAATTTACTTCCTTCTGCTGAGTATAGGCCTCATCTCGTTTCTGAGAGAGTTTTAGGGCATTTTATACATGCAGGTTTCCTCACGATGTTTTCCTTCACCGACGAGCACGTGTTAAATTAACATTTAAAACTACAAGTAACAATTTCTTTGGTGTCGGCGAGGATCGAACCCAAAAAATCAATTCCTTTCCGTTTCAGTTTCTTCTAAACATTCCTTTGGGTTAGCTATAGACTTCCGGTACTTGATTTTAATAATGTTTTTAGTTTAGAAAGGTCGTTAGGATTAAGCTTGAACCTATTACACTGTTTTAGGTGTCTGAAATGCGTTTTGAATTAATTACGATTAAAGTAACTTTCAGTAAAAATTGCTTATAACTAAACGAAAATATGTCAATTTGGTCTAGTATTATGAAGTAGACGTTCGGTACTTGATTTTTATATTGTTTTCAATTTGGGAGGTTTGTCACAGTTAAGCTTAAGGCCGTTTTCCGACTTGTCGGTGCGAGAGCGGTGCGGATTCGTTTCCCGCTCGACAATTACTGCGCACGGTCGTACAAACAAGATGGCGGAGCGATATATTTAATTCGTTTCAGTACTAGAAATTGAACATTCTCTAAACCTTGTATTTTGCTTTGTTAATACAGTAGTCAACAAATTCAAAAGCTCTTCGTAAGTTTTTTTTTTCGATATTCTATACATTAATAAAAAGTTTTCGTCATCTTGGGAAAGTTCTTGGGCCGCAACAAAAAGTCGAGAATTAATATTATTTTCGATATATGGAAGAAGCCATAAGCGAACAAGAATTAGGAAGGCAACTTACTAAATATGTCCCGTCTAACAACATTGATGAGGAGTGGCAAAATATAAAAACAGCGGTGACAGAGTCAGCCAAAAATATTATTGGAAAGGCAAAGCGTACAAGAAATATGGAATGGTTCAATGAAAAATATATGCAAGCACTAACTAAAAAGAATGAAATGCGGCTTAGATATCTACGAAACAACAGTGTAAGAAATGAAGAACTTTATAAGACTGAGAGAAACAAATGTAGGAAATTAGCGAGACGCAAAAAAAGGAACGCAGAAAGAGAGCGATTCAAGAGAATGGAAGACCTCAGAGTACGTAATTTTACACGCCCCTTCTATAGTGAAATAAACAGGCTTTGTAAGGGATATCAACCCAAAACCAACGCATGCCAAGACAAGTCAGGGAGTCTAATCACGGAAAAGGCAGACGTGCTTAGGAGATGGCGGGAACATTTTAGCGAACTCCTAAACATATCCAATGCAACAGATAAAGAGACCATATTTTTCGACGCTGAGGAGCGATTAGAACCACCCACAAGAATGGAAGTCCATCAAGCCATTCGTAGTCTGAAGAACAACAAGGCACCAGGGCTTGATACTATCACCTCAGAGCTACTCAAAAGAGGCGGAAGCGGTATCGTGGAGAGAATGCACGGACTCGTTACTCTTATATGGGAGGAAGAAAGAATACCCGAGGAGTGGAATTCAGGTATTATTGTACCGATATTCAAGAAAGGGAATAAGAGTATCTGTAGCAATTACAGAGGTATTACAGTCCTCTCAGCGGCTCATAAAGTTTTGTCAGGAGTTATTTATAGGAGGCTCTGTGGTTATGCTGAGGAGATATTGGGAGAGTACCAATGCGGATTACGACCTAATCGCTCTACTGTAGACCAGATTCACCTCCTGCGGCAAACACTGAAAAAGGCGTATGAATACAACATTAACTTGCATCATATGTTTGTGGATTTCAAGCAGGCATTTGACAGTGTGAACCGTACAGAAATACTCTCCAGCATGCTACACTTGGGTGTGCCCAGTAAATTGGTTAGGCTCGTCGAAGCCTACAAAGTTAAAGCACACTAAAGCTGTTGTAGCCATACAGAATGACCTGTCCGAGCCTTTTGAGATCCGTTCGGGAGTGAAACAAGGAGACGCGCTATCGTCTATAGTCTTCAATTTGGCACTTGAGGCTGCCACACGTAAATTGAACATCAATGGCCTGATTAATTACAACACCACTCAACTCGCTGCGTATGCCGATGATATTGTTATTACCAGCAGGTCAAGAAACAGGATGATCGACCACTGTCTAATGCTGGAGACCGAAGCCGTGACTTTTGGACTGCGTGTAAATGCATCCAAGACTGAGTACCTTGCAACAGCTAGACAACCTGGACAGCCACAAAACGTTAATGTTGGCAATCAAACCATAAAAGGCGTGAGCAGCTTCAAGTATCTAGGAGCAACGATTACCTCCCAAAATAGATCTGACGAAGAGATTAAGGCATGGATAGTTGCTGGGCACAAATGTTATTACGCGTGTGCCAAACTCCTGGGTTCTAAGCTGCTTAGTGTGAAATCGAAACTCACCATCTACTACACCATCATCAGGCCTGTTGTGACTTATGCCTGTGAAACCTGGACTTTAACACAGAGAGACGAACTGAAGCTTGCCGTGTTCGAAAGGAAAGTGCTGAGAAAAATCTATGGTCCCATCAAAGAGCGTGACGGTATCTATCGTCAACGCATGAACCATGAACTGGACGCACTTATCGGGCACGAGAACATCGTCAGGTTCTGTAAGTCGCAGCGACTGAGGTGGGCGGGTCACCTTGAAAGAATGCCGGATACTAGAGCCGTAAAAATAATGACAAAATGGACGCCGCAACAAAAGAGACCGAGAGGCAGGCCTAAAAAGCGTTGGAGTGACTGTGTGGAAGAAGATCTCAGGAAGATGGGAAAGTTTACCAGCTGGAAGAAGGTAGCCAGGCAGCGTGACAACTGGAGGAAGATTGTGGAGGAGGCCAAGACTCACAAATTGTTGTAGCACCAACGGAAGTAAGTATATGGAAGAAGCCAGTAACGTTTTCTTTTTTTACGACGGAAGACACCTTCGGTACTGCAGGATTTTATACCGATAAGTGAGTAGCTGAAAGCAACGCGATATCGTTTCGGTACAGACCTTAAAGATCCCGCATTGCTCCCGCACCGACGAGTCGGAAAACGGCCTTCACCTTTTACACTGCTTTTTTATTTATTTCGGAAATGCTTTTTTAATTAATTACAATAAAAATACATTTCACTAAAAATGGCATATAATTAAACACAAATAAGTAAATTTTTTTTAAACGTATAAACCCATAAAAAGTTAATCAATCTGACCAAGACAACCCATGTGACGTTGAAGACGAAACTCATATGCAACAAATTGAGTCGCCGTGATGAGCAGTCCAGAGGTTTTTCAGGAAACCAAAGTATAACAATTCACATTACATTGTTTCATTTACCACTATCATAGCAGAGTTTAGGTAAACCTGACTTTATAGATAAGATTGGTCAAGTATGTTCTAAAACTGAATCAGCACGCCCCAACTCCACGTAGTCTTGTCTGCCCTACCCCTAGAATGTTTTTGTAAAGCCGTAAGAGCGGAGGGAAAGCAGCCTCCGCCTGCCGTAGCAATTTGCAGGTAGACGTGCGAGATGTAGCGGCTGAGGCTGGTCGCCAAAGGCGACCAATAAGCCAAATCTGTGGAGATTTTTTATTTTGAAAAGGGTGACAAGCGAGCACACAGTCCACCTGATGGTAAGTGGTTACTGTGGCACATAGACATCTACATCTATCCTCGTTTGCGAATCAAAATTCAGATGCGTTGTCGAGGACTAAGATGGAATGCCTCTTTTCCAGTACAAAGGGTCTCCGGTTCTCTACACTCACCGTATGAAGCAGCATTAAGCTACTATTTGACGCTGGTACTCTGTGAGAGCGTGGTCCTTCCCCGGTCGAGCCGACCCATTCGTGCTACAACTATACAATTAATATAGCTGCAGCATGGCTCTACCACGTAACAAAAGTAACAAGGTGAGCAGGGATGGATGCCTTAGATTTGCTACGCAAGGGCGAAGGGCTCCACTTCCCGCAGCGTCGAAGCTGTTATAGAAGTAACTTTGGGTTAATATTCCTGTATAAAAAGTGAGGTAATTATTTTACAAAATAAATCATTACTCATAAACTATACATTTCTGTAAGAGGGGAAGGGTAGGTAAGTCTTCTCCTGCATCCACCCATTTCCCCCACTCCCGTACGCAAGTACTGGATGTCTATAGTTTTAACGATCCTTTTATTACATACGTGGTGCATCCAAAAACAGTTTATATGACAAACTATTAATTCAACAACTTAGGACGACTTTAAATAAAAACTAAATGGTTCATAAATAATTGATCTGGATTTTGTTTTATAAAAGGGGTTTTCATACACTTTTTTTTTGGGGGGGGGGGGTTAAATATAGACCCGGTATTACAGTTAATACCAACAAAAAAAACTGGAAACCTTATTTAAGTTTGTTATGTATCCACTAATGTGTGCTAGGACTTCCAACATGTACTATATATACTTTTTGACTGCCTCGTTGGGCTAGTGGTTGTAATAGTGCGACTGCTGATACTAAGGTCCTGGGTTCGAATCCCGGATCGGGCCAAAGAATCAATTATTGAGTTTTTCTGTCAAGAAATTCTCAGTAGCTGCCCGGAATCAGGAAGTTGGTGGTGTCTCAATCCCGTGCCTCGGAAAGCACGTAAAGCCGTTGGTCCTGCGCCTGCTCTCTCTCCGATCGTGTCGGTTTACCGTCCCACCGGATTATGAGAGTGGGGGAATAGAGAGTGCACCTGTGCTTGCGCATACATTTGTGCACTATAATCCTGTCCTGCGCCGATGGCTAGCCTCCGTTGAGGCAGGCCGCCGTGGCCGAAATTCGGTCTGGAGGACATTATTATATATACTTTACCGTGAGCTATTTACAGGTTAACCCAATCAATATGCAAAAGAAAAGCCCACGTGTCCAGAATTGCAGCCTACGCTGTTGCAGACATTTGCACATGGATCGAAAAAACAGCGCCACCGAAATTGGTGCGGCAACATCTAGAAAACTCAATTTCCTTATTGATACAGTCATCAGACTCGACTTATGCTATGGCTTTCCTCAGGAGAGCATTAGCTGGCTCTATTGGACAGACCACAATGACTAATATGTATTTGATGTATAAGAGATACCATAAATATGTTGGGAATTCTTAATTTGAAATGATTTTATAAATAAATATAAATGTGTACAGAATACAACTTTTATTTTGTTTATATACATGTCTTTATTTATCTAACGGCTGATTATTCAACCACCAGATAAAACTTTTCCTCAGATAAAATAAAACATTAACATATAAAAAAATTACAGTTGTATGTATGAATCTGGGGGCACGGCAGTGCCCCCGCCAGATCGAGAAAAAAGCGGCACAGCCGTAACATAATTTTCTCGAAAAAATTCAGGCCATTTTGGAGCCCCTATAACTTCTAAGTGGATAAAACTAGACCTTTACACAAATATGATCAAAGGTTCTTAATTTTGTACTCACTGACTGACCGATCATCAAACTCCACTTCTAGAGACATAGAGCTTTGATATAGTGTTTAGTGTATAAATCAAGGAAAAGCTAAAATATTTTTCAATTTCGGTCCAGTTTTGATACACCAACTGCATTAATAACTTTGTAATCCTATATAAATATATAGAATTACATAGATACATTTGCAGTGAATGAATCAGTGTACTTGTTATGTATAATAAGGTACCGGAAAGGAAAAAAGTAGGACTATCTTATCTACAAAAAGAAATGAGATGCCATCAAAAACATAACTTGTAAAAACCAAGTCTCGCAACTCAGTTCTTTTACTGTAAAAAGTTGTGAGATCTATGTAATAGCAAGTCGGTTAATTTATTCCGTCCTTATTTAAGGGTCCTTCTGTTTTAAGTTATTACGTAATTAGCTAATCTAACAACATTTTATAGTGACCATATCAATGTTAAAAATCTTGTATGTTTTAAATATATAGATTGACTTGGCAATCGCACTAAGTAATCTAATTTAATACAATATGTTACACATTTAATACAATTTAATATGTTATTACTTGTGAGATACATTGTGTTTTCTTGCGATCATACCTTTTTCATTGATGGTCACTTATTTAATATTTCCAATTCGAATAACTTAAAACAGAAGGACCCTTAAGTAGGGACTTAATAAATTAACCGACTTGGTATTACATGGATCTCACAACTTTTTACAGTAGAAGAACTGAGCTACGAGACTTGTTTTTTTTTTTTACAATTTATGTTTTCGATGGCATGAAATTGTTTCCCTTTTATATTCAGACAGCAATCCAATAATTTATTTGGATTATATGAATAACTTTGATTAAAAAATTACGTGTTCACTCCTTTTAAGCGTCTCCCTTTTAGGGCCCGTGTCCTCTTGTACCCCACTCTAGAAAAAAAAATGTTTTATACCAATGGCTGTTAAATAATTCATCTTAGTCCTCAGCAATGCATTTGTTTTTTTTTTCATGCTGGTTGTAGTTGTAGGCATTGAGGTATTACTACGTATAGAGAAGACCACGCCTTGCATGATTTTGCGCCACCCTTTGCGGTACACAGACGAGTCGTGTTCTTTTCGCATAAATAACAACTTCAAAATGCCTGGTTGTGTTCTTAAAGACTGCAGTAAACACTCCAGAACATCTAAAAAAGTGATGGTTTAACATTTTTACGGTAAGTAGACACTAAAACGTTAAAAACTCTTTTTTTATTTGGATTGCCAACATAAGAAACAGCAATGTTTGGTTACATTACAGCGTTATAAATTTTACATGATTAACTGCTCTTATAATTATAGGCAACCACAGCATGCGTTGTGTTTCAAATGTTAAACAAAATTAAGAAAAATATGTTCTTAAATAAAAAATAATGATAAAGAAATAAAAGTTAACTGTGCAACTGGAGTTTAACGTACGTCAACATCCTTTAGCTTGGCAATAAATTGAGCAAGGGTATAATGGTGAACGTCAAGGTCGGGTTCATTTTTGGTGAGGTTGTTGTACAGGCGAGATATACGGATCACTGGGGAGTCGCGACCTAAGTTGGTTCTAAAAAATTTAATCTTAAAAAGGCTACACAGATATCTTGGTATTCTGCATGGTACGTTAAATTGAAATTTGGACAATAACGGGACACAGTCAATGTAATTATTTATAATCTTACGTAAGAGTGACATGTCTAAGTGATTTCAGCGTAAGGAAAGGGGTTCTAGTTGAAAATGCTTAATTTTTTCGTGATAGGTTTTGACTCTTTGATTTAAAGTTTGAAACGTTGTTACTGTTACGAGCTTAGGGGTTCGTGAAAGTAAAAACTGCCTATGGAGTTACCAAAATTTACACTTTAATTTCCAACACCAATTAAAATTTAAAACACTAATAAGTAATCACACTTAACACTTCAGTTCACTATATTTCGCTCCGAAGTCTTCGCTTGTGTCGCCAATTAAATACTGCCTCGGTCGCGGCCCTAAACGGCTTTATATAGGCCTTTTCCACCGAAACATCTAGAATGTTCCAGCAAATACCGGTCCCGACCTACTAGGTGTAGAAAATTCTAGTGTGGAATTTTCTTCTATTCGATACTAGATGGCGCTAGTTGGAGAGTTCTAGAAATATCTTGACGCTCCTTTTTCCGCTCCTTGATACTAGATGGCGCTAATGCCATGTATCAGGTATCAACTGGTGCGCAACACTGCCCCCTCCTAAGACATGCTCGTCCCGAACATTATCGGCCCCATAATAACGAGCCAGTCGATCCACATGGACTATCTTAGGAGTACCCTACGAGCTCTTAACCCTATAGAGAAGTAATACATGCGAATTTAAAAGAAAACAATTTTGTCAACTAGTTGCGGCGCGGGGGGAGTTGTGATCGCTGCGAAGTACTCCGAACTATTCCGATGAGATTCCGAACACGATTGCTAGGGTGTGCATTGTAATGAATTTATGCTTTCTATCGATATTGATAATTTTTTCGCTTTTTTAATGCATACTTTCAGTATCAGTAACTAGCTTTTGACTGTGACTTCACTTTTCCTGTGCAACTAAGAAATGCAATTTTAATTGTACTAACTTTTCAAGCAGTATACTCGGGTAAAATATAAATGCCAGCTTCGAAAAAAATTCAAGATTAAATTAAAGGACTTTAAAATAAACTTTTAGTGATTTGGTGAACTTTAACATAAAATTACTTTAACATAAAAAAATAAAATATTTAAAACGTGGTAGAGCCATGCTGCAGTTATATTAGTAGTATAGTTGTACCATGAATGGGTCGGCTTGACTGGGGAAGGACCACGCTCTCACAGAATACCAGCATAAAATAGTAGCTTTATGCTGTGTTTCGTATGGTGAGTGTAGAGAACCGGCGACCCTTTTTAATGGAAACGAGGCATTCCATTCCCCGTGGGTGACAACACATCTGCATTTAGATTCGTAATCGAGGATAGATGTAGATGTCTATGAGCCACAGCAACCACTTACCATGATGTGTACTGTGTGCTCGTTTGTAACCTTATCCTATAAAAAAGGCCCCGTAGGAGATACGCAAGATTGTTCGGCTCAAGGTCGATGCACTACGAGGCAGTACGGTGAGATTGAAAAGAGAATAAAAAAGATTTTCATATTTTTATATTATATTTATTTTATTAAGTGCTATTATTGACTGTTAAAATGAATTAATTTTGTATGTATTCGCCTAACTGCACATTTTCCTTCCAATTTTTGAATTTTTAGTATAAATGTCATTCTTGTCAATATATTTCTTCATTACACTTTTTGTTAAATCATAATACGATTGGTTTCTTCGGCGTAAAATTGATGATGTATATACTCCAGTAATAATTGTTCTTCTGTAAAGGTACTAAGAGCTTTATGGGTTAACAGTTCAGCGATGATTTTTCCTTTAAAGTTACTATTAATAAAATCTTTCTTGATTACGGACTCGCAACGCCGACATAATATTTTAACGACCATTTGTGAGGGATAAATTAACCTTCCATTATCTTTGTAGAATATGAGAATCTTTTTTATTTTATTTTAATGACACTAAAGCCTTTATACAGGTATTGCATCTGAGGCAAAAACAGCGTAGGTACTGCACTTCTCATTAGTCGCCGCTTCTTGTTTGTCATCAAAAAACAATCCTCAGTAAAATGTTTTGAGCACATGACGCTATATATTGATGGAAACCCATTTTCTCTTTTTGTAACGTTTATCCATTTGTTTTTCATATTACCATCTTTTGGAAACCTATAGGGAAAAAATCATACAGTTTAAATAAAATAACATTGTTATCGTACTTATCCAAAGCTCATACACGAAAAGAATAATTATAATTGTTCTTTTCGTGTATGAATAATAATGTACTACTCTTAGTAATACTTTAAATTAAAATTATATATAATAATAATAATATATATATATATATATATATATATATATATATATATATATATATATATATATATATTTATATATATATATACACAATAATCATTTTGTTGATAATTATCGACAATACGAAATAAATATACCGCACTGCACTAGTAATTAGCGTCACGAGGCTAATTATGATAAGGAGAGGCAGACATACATGTTTGCAGTAAATGCAAAAAGGACGGGGAGTGACGCATGGCGTAACCGTCCAGTTTAACTTGACCCTCATTGCGTAATAAAAATGTAAAAGAAAAATATTCTGGTAAAATAAAGAAATATACTTACCGATGAAAAGTAATATTGTTTGTTGTTACACTACATGTTTTACTGTTGTTTCCGCACCATTTAACGGCACAACAAGACATGATGCCGTTAATTGATTTTAATTTATATTTTAAATGTAAGCCGGTTCTAGTTTTTGGTCGCAACTGGCGGGAAACAAAAGTGTTCCGAAATATATCAGTGACTAGTCACTTTCAGTTTATACAAAGGTACTCTGTGCTAGTCACTGACGAGTTCACAGGTTCGGGTCGCCTTGTATTACGTCTCTATAGGGTTAAGTGCTCGTAGGGAGTACCTCTTGCACTTTTTTGTATCCGGTAGATTACGTCATTGATCCTAGTCACAATCCGGTACGGGCGTCCCATTTAGCTTAAAGCTTAAGAGATTTCCCTTTGCTGCGGACTGGATTGTGCAACCACACTAGT